AAAATAAATCAGCAGATCAGGAAATCAAACCCAGGTCTCCTCGATTCCAGACCTGTATTCTTCTTCACTCTGCCACATGGATCCCTGAGCTCCCTAACCCCCATGTACTGGGACCTCATCTGTTTAATTTGTTTTGTAGACCTCCTAGAGCAATGTCACATGCTTAAGATATTAATAATGACCATGATGTCATTGCTGGGGACTGGCAGAGGAAGGCCAACTGATGATACAGAATGAATTGAATTGGCAGAAGAAACCCTTTCAAACTGGAAAAAAAAAACCTGCCAAAAGAGGTCAATTATCACTAGGCTTTAAAATCAAACACAATCTTCAGTGACATTTACTGGCTAGAAGAGGGAGGAGGATAAAGGATTCTGAAAACTCTCTCTGTCTTTTTTATTCACTAGCCACTTAGTAATGACTAATGAATGAGCAATAAACCTTTCAATCACACTACCGCAGGCTGGCGTCTTGTTTTAATACTCCTCACGGAAGATAAAAATTTAGTATGAGCTGGTCCTTCTTGGTCACCACTCATGTAGGGCTGGAGGAATGGCTACCAAAGTATCAGAGAACCTTAGCAAAACTTGGCTGTGCCCATGAAATGACCCTACAGTACGGATGTCCCTGGGGGCTGTCCTAGGAAGACTCTAGTGCAGAGAAAAACATATTTCTGCAAAACTCCTTTTTTTTTTAGCATATCAGTGGGGTGAGGGCAGCCCAAAGATGGAAGTGGATCCCTAGAGACTAGCAATTTTTTTCTATGTGGTCTCCAACCCTCACGCTCCTCACAGCTATATCAAGACCTCAAAGTTAAATTGTTTTTAAAATAGGCTTTGGGGTAATGTATAGAGTGCTAGATTTAAAATTCAGAAGTTGTGTATTTGAATCCTGCCTCAGACCCTTACTAACAGTGGGACTCTGGACAAGTTATTTAATCTCTCTGAGTGTCAGTTTCCTCATAGCACCTACTTCACAAGGTTTCTGGGAGGGAAAAAAAAAAAGATGATCTATTTAAAGCCCCTTACAAATCTTCAAGTTCTAGATAAATGGTATTTGTTGTTGTTGTTGTTATTATTATTATTATTATTATTATTATTATTATTATTTATTACCACTGGAAAACCAGCTTGTTAGGAATAAAACACAGGATGGTATAGCAGAAAGAAGACAGGTCTTGGAGTTGGAAGACTTGAATCTGAATCCTAGCACTGATGCTTATTAGCAGTGTAACCCTGGATTTGACCTCAGTTTCTTAATATGGAAAATGGAGAAGTTATTTTTACTATCTTTATCATAGGATTGTGGCAAAGAACACTGGCTCTTAAGTCAGGGGGCCTGAGTCCAAATCCCACCTTTGATACTCATTACCTGAGTGTCCTTGGGCAAATCATTGAATGTCCCCGGACTTTAGTTTCCTCATCTGCAAAATGATGGGGGCTAGATTAAATGGCCTCTCATGTCCCTTCCAGCTCTAGATCTGGGATCCCATGATCAGAGCACTTCGTGATCTTTAAAGTGAGCTATTATGATCGTCGTTGCAATAACAGCCCCTTATGGACAGGATAAGAGATCAAGGTATTCTTAACAACAAAGAGAAACTCATGACCCCAAAAATGCTGACACAGGTTCCATAGAAGGCCCTTTATATTGGGCTGCCAAGTCCCGCATTCGGAAGGACATCACTTAACACAGTTTCAGACTCCATCGGCAGCACTCTATGCCAATCTCCCTGCCGACCTTAGCGCTTCTCATTCTCGTCACTCTCCAAATTAGATGAGTACAGAGCAACTTTATCCATCACCACCGAGTACTGAGGACTGCCAACATATTTAAATTATGTGACTGACAAGACAGCTGATTCCTCTTCCAAAAACAGAAATGTGATGTTTGACAAGGAAAGAAATAGGAGGTGGCATGGAGAAACTAGTGAAGAAATAGGAACTGTACCTGAAGGGACCCCTATCCACCCTTGACTTCAGACTCCTGACCCAGTCAGTTTCCCCAGTGGGGACAATGTCATTATCAGACCAATTTGCTCTGCGACACCCCTAGTCAGCCTGACTATGCTCTATAGCTAACTCCGCCTTCAACTTTCAATCAAACAGCCCCTGTGCCGGGCCCTAGAGAGTGCTCAGGCCTGTTCAAGACTGAGCAGCAGCCAGATTAATCCCCCCAAAGCATCATTTTGACCATAACACTTGCCTGCTCAAAAAACTTCAATGGCTCCCCATTGGCTACTGATAGGCTTAGGAGTTTAGGCAAAGTCTCATCTTAGGACTAGCATGAAAAGCCAGAGTTAATTAAAGTAAGAGGTGATTGTTTTGAATTTAGTGAACCACTAAACTGTGCCTGGTTGTTTATATTTTCTTTAAAAAATGTCTTCTCATCTGTTGACCTGCATGTCTTATGTAAATGGTAGTCATTAGTGATTATTAAATATTTCTGTTATTTTTGTCATAGGGCTTCACTAAAGTCTTGGTCAGAAGCCTTATTAATGCATGCAGGTGACCCTGAGCTCTCAAAACCCACACCAGTAGAGAACTAACTCTGTCACATCCCACCAGTTTGGAAAAGCTTCAAGTACACAGCCTAGTGAATGATCACATGACTGTTTTTTCAGGACACCCTAAGAGCATGGAGGCCCATTGCCTCTGTCTTCTGACTGTCTACCCAGGGATGAATTCTTTTAGCCATGACAACTCATAAATCCATCCATCAGTGGAATGGGATGTCTACACCTATGGAACTCCACTTTTTCTAAAGTATCGATGTGTCATTCTATGGGGGGAAAACATGTCAGCCTCATCCACAAAATGAAGGTCAAAAGGATGGCCTTGAAATTTCCTTCCAGCTCTAAGTCTCATAATACTCTGATGGCTAGATCACATGCTATTCCTACTCTCTCCATTGTCCAGGCCTAGGGCAATCTTATACAGCCATAGTTCTGGCACTGACATTCACCTGTTTGCTGGTACCTGAGTGACAATGGTGGTTATTGTTGCTGTTCATGTCCTTCATTCTCAAAGAGGACCACGATGTCAGGAAGGAGATGCAATGACCTGCAAGTAAACTGGATTTAAGCGAGGCAGGACTGTGCAAAGTCACCAGCCTCACCCTCTACTCCAGAGCCATCTGGATTCAGTGGCAAGATATAGATCAGGATGACTGGAGATGGCTCTGGGTGCAGTAGGAGGGCCTTGGCCCTAGAAGGAAATAATGAACTTTTCAAGAGCTGGTCCTACAAACCCAGATCTTAAATGACCACATCATTTCTAGATGAATTTCACATGGTTTGCTTTTCCTCTCAGCTTATTGAATCTCTTCACCCAATCATTCGATCAAAGCATTACTAGGGACTTTTAGGTTCCAGGCTCTGTGCTAAATGCCAAGGATCCTACATTCTAGAGGTGGAGACAACATGTGCACCATGTTGACATAGAAATATAGTCCTTAAGTACTAGCTAAGGATAGTCCCAATAAGCTAGCTAGGTGGCACAGTAGATAAAGGTTTGCAGTCAGGAAGACCTAAGTTCAAACCTGGCCTCAGACACTTACTAGATGTGTGACCCTGGACAAGTCACTTAACCTCTCTCAGCCTCAGTTTCCTCAATTTGTAAAATGCTAACAAAATAGCACCTACCTTCCAGGCTTGTTATGAGTATCAAGTGATCCTTATAAAGCATCAAGCACAGTGCCTGGCACACAGTAGGCACTTGACAAATATTTGCTTCTTTCCTTCCAAAAACAGCATACATTGTCTTTCATGACAAAAACATAAACAGGATCCTTATCAATGAATATGTATATCATTCTTCCTTCAAAGTATTTACAAATTTGTATCATTCTTGGCATCAAAGCCATTAGGCATTGCACCAAATTAAAACATTTCCAAAAGCAGTGTGGGATAGTCGATAGAATTCTGAACTTGGCATCGGGAAGACAGGTTCAAATCCACACTCTGATACTTGTTCACTGTGTGACCATGAGCCAGTCCCTTAATTTCTCTGAGTTCCAGTTGCTTTATCTTACATAATTTAAGGGTTTTGCAAATTCTAAAAGCATGATATAAATGTCAGGTGTGATTCTTATAATGAGGACACTATCACAGTGAAAAAGAGAACAGTAGCTTAACTGTACTCAAGGGGCTTTACACAGACACATCAGACAGTGGTAGCCTGCATGAAAACAATCCCCAAAGAGACAACTATGGCACCCTATGTTTCTAATTTTTTAAAGAACAAAAGTCCCATTCCTTGCTGGACTCTCCCAAACAAAGTGCACCCACCTGTGCTCCTATAAATGAGATTCTGAGGGCCACGGACTTTGACAGCCCTGCTGCTTCAGTTCATGTGATAAAACCCAACTCCCTTCATCAGCCTTCAGTGACTGCTCAAATGCAAATAAAAAACCACTCAGCAGTAGCTATGAATAAAATAAGGAAAGTTTGATTTAGGTTTGACTATTATACATATATAGAGTAGCCGTATTTCTTCTCTGTGAATTGTTTTACTTTAAAATGTATTTACATTATAACGAACAATCTTGGCCTCATGGAAAATTTAAAAAATGAACTTCTTTTCCTTCATTACAGAGGTGAGTAACTATTGATGTGGACTATTGCATACACTGTCAAATATGCAGGATCTCTTGGGTTTGCTGAACTGCTTAATTTTTTCCTTTTTAGAAAATCTTTGTGGTGTCCTGGCCATTTGTCAAAATGGCAATGCTGCCACTCTACCCCCCGGAAGACCTTTGGGGCAGACTGGTCCCACCTAGGGGCTGGCTTTTCCTGATTGATGAGAGCTCACTCTACCTAGACGGCCCCAGACCCACCAGGTTCTTTCATCCTGGCTATTTCCAAACCTGAGGTGCACACCCCTCACCCCATTTCCCGTATCCCTCAGATCTAGGAACCGTAACCAAACTCATACCACGATTATTTCTGGACCTGCCCTCTAGCTTTACTCACCATACCTTGATTTCACAGACCAAAACGCCCTTCTCTGATCACCATTCTCCTATATGTTTTGGCTCCTTCAATTAGACTGTAAACCCTTGAGAACAGAGAGTGTAATACTTTAGTATTTGTACCCCCAGAACTTAGCACAACATCTGATGTGTAGTAGATACTTTATAATTGTTTTGTCATTCATTCATGCACTAATTTAATTCATTCAAGAGATGGTAACCTGAGTAGGGAAGTGGACAGGAATGTATTAAGAAATGAAAGTGATATGACAGAAGTGATATATGATATCAGGGATATATTCAGAAATGAATGTGATACATCAATTTTTTAAAAATTCAGGATTGAAAATTACCTTGTACTTTTTCCAACAGATATACCAAATGTACAGTGTCCCAAAAGTCTCAGGACACTTTGTAGTTGGTATTTCTTTTGGAAAAAGTACAAGGACAAAGTATCAGGACAGTTTTAAGCTATTAAGATTTTTGGATTTGTGCAAAATCACCTGGATGAAAAGATGATGTCTATTTTAGGGGAAAATTGTATGTATACTTTCCCAGGTCCAAAGGTCACCTCCATCATTAATTACTCCCATGGTTCTCTCAGAGATGCCCAGGGCTGTGTCTCCTACCTTCTCTATAAGCTTACAGATTCCTTAGTAACTCTCAACAGAGAGATGGTAATTTCCCAGAGCAAATGGCTCCATTGATATTCATGGGATAAACGTTTTGTAACAAAACCTCAACAACCTGCTAATGTAAATTTCATACACAGCTTCTGAAAGGTTAAACAATGCTGCTCTGCTCTGTTGTGTCCAGAAAGCGAATTACTAAGAGGGGAACTGGCCTTGGCACCCCTCTACGTCTTTATGCAGAAAGCTCTCTCGATAACAAGGTCTTGGTCTTTGCTCAAGAGACATTCAAGGTCCTCTATGGTCAATCTGGATGGAAAGTCTGATGAGTCAACATGTACTGAAATAAATCACCCTTGGCTTTCTCCACCTAAGTAAAATTTGTGCCTAAAAAAAATTTTTACACAACTTAGTCGGTAGAAGAAAAAAGGACTAAGAAGGGAAGCTGGGATTTGATCTGCATGGGGGGAAAATGAGGCAAGGAAAGCAAACGATTGTTCTGATTTCATTTTGTGAGTAAAACTTTCTTTACCTGATGTCTTCTTCTTAATGGTTCCCATACAATTAGCAACCCCATCGACTCTCCCTTTTATACAATTGCCAAAGTTATAGTCCTAAAACAAAGTGCCGATATCACTCTCCTGCTCTGAAACCAACAGGGGCTTCCCATTGCCTATAGGATAAAATATAAATTTACCTGTTTAGCATGTAAATCCCTTCACAATCTGACTCTAACAAAGAGGTTTATTTCCCAATAATCCTCTTCTTACTCTCTATATTCCCACCAAATTACCTCATTACTTGTTGCTCACGAGATTCAATCTTTCGGTGGCATGCCTGGGACACCATTTCACTTAGACTTGGCATTTTCCAGATCTATTTGCCAATGCATTTATCATGTTGTTAGTGATCCGTGTTCTCTTGCAAAGAAGTCTGGAGTGCTGCCCATTGGTACTGAGGGCAAGCAGCCCAGGGGGTGGAGTCTGGGTGTTGCCTTCTAGATATGCTTTTTATAGACCATTTTCAATCAAGTGTCCCAGATAAATTCAGTTACTAGATCATTTAAAATTTTAATTAACAGTATTTGCACAGAATCTCAATTTGACCATAAAAATTTAATGGTTGATAGAGTTTAAGGTTCAATGGTCTTTCTATTTAGGAGGAGACAGATGAAATAGTCACAGATTAATTTTTCCAGTCATCTCCAATATATCAGAATTATGAAGACAATTGAGAAGAAATGTATTAGAAATAGTAATGATCTCGGATATGTAAAATATTGGATTTTACCTCTGCCCATCCTACCTTCTCTAAACTGTAATTATTTTCTCTGACACACTGCTGACTGATCAGTTTGTATGCAGTGTCTCCTTTATCCCTTCCATGAGTGTGGAGTAGATAGAGGAGCAACCTTTTGAGGATCAAACAGGACTACCACATATCTCTTCATCATCACTGCCTCCTTCAAGGTACAAATAGAGAATGAACCTACCACTAGCATTGGAAAACAAACATTCTGCAATAAGTCTGGAGAACTATGTCTTTGTTTATAACAACTCGTCCTCCTCCCCAGTATGTCCAATCCCTGAGGCAGTGTGGTACAGTGGAAAAGGCTCTCAGTGTAATCAGGAGAGGCCTGGGTTTAAGTCAGATCTTTGACACTTGCGAGGGTCGTGGCCATTGCAAGTCACTCAGAATCTCCGAGGATCCAATTCTTCAGTTGTAAAATGGGGAGAATAACAGCACCTTCATGGTGCTGGACCTAGACTGAGAAAAACCTGAATTCAAATCCGGCCTGGGACGCTTACTAGCCCAGAGAAATCATTTGATGTCTATCTGCTTCAGTTTTCTCAACTACAACGTGCGGATAATATCGCCTGCCTCCCAAAGTTGTCATGAGCCTCAAATCAGATGATATTTGTAAAGCTGCATCTGGCATGTGGCAGGTACTAAATGACTACGTGGTCCTTCTCTGCACACATACACCTTTGGGAAGTGGGAGGAGCCATCCTACACACAACCCTGGAACCTGATTGGACGGCATGAGAGCATATTATTGAAAACGGACCTAGAAGGTCCTCTGCTGTGATCCTCCCCACCCCCAACTTATAAAGGAAGAAACTAATGCTCAGAGGGAAAGGGGCCTGTCCAAAGCAGAGCCAGGCAGGACTGGATCCCAGTTCTGGCTGGGTCCTGGATCCTCAGCTCCAGAGCTCTTTCCACCATTCTCAGCTAAAATGGGCCTTCATTTAGTGACAGGGATCCCTGGGAAATGGTACAGAAGCCTTGACCCAATAAGCAGTTTTCTTTCTGCATGTCACCCAGAAACAGAATTTTCTTTTTCTTGTATAGCTTGAATATGCTTGAGTGGTATCTTTGAGTATGCATAAAGTGCTCATCATTCAGGCATCCCTACTGGGAGGGGAATGAGGGAATCATGGCCTCACTAATACATAATAATATGACATCATCATCATCCTCATCATCATAAGGATAGCTAATATTTCTATAGAGTTTAGTATGTACCAGGCATTAATACTGATTATTATCTCATTTGATCCTCACAACAACCCTGGAAGGTAGGTGCTATTATTATCCCCATTTTATAGATGAGGAAACTGAGGCAAACAGGGTTAAGTGACTCGCCCAGGGTCACACAGCTAGCAAGTGTCTGAGACCGGATTTGAATGCAGGTCTTCCTCACTCCAGGTCTAGTACTCTACCCATTGTACCACCTTGCTGCCCATATTTCAATAACTGGTTTTTTTTTTAAATTGAGGTATCACTTCATGCCTATCAGATTGACTAACATGACAGAAAAGGAAAATGACAAATACTACAAGAGATGTGGGAAAATAGGCACACTCATGCATTGTTGATGGAGTTGTGAAGTGGTCCAACCCTTCTGGAGAATATTTTGGAACTATTGCCAATAGGCTATAAAACTATGCATACCCTTTGGCCTAGAAATACCCAAAAAAATCAAAGAAAAAAAAAGAACCTACACGTACAAAAATATTTCTAGTAGCTCTTTCGCAATGACAAAGAATTAGAAAGGGAGAGGATGATCATCAGTTTGGGAATGGCTGAACAAGTTATGGTACATGATTGTCATGGAGTAGTATTGTGCTATAAGAAATATAAAGGAAATATTTGAAGAAAAAAATAGGAAGACTTACATGAACTGATGCAGAGTGAAGTGAGCAGGACCAGGAGAACTTTATACACAGTGCTAGCATTACTGTAACAATGATCAACTGTGAAAGACTTAGCTACTGTGATTGATAGAATGATCCATGACAATTCCAAAGGACTCATGATGAAAAAGCCTATCCACCTCCCGAGAAAGAACTGAAGAACTCTGAGTGCGAATTAAAACATACTTTTTTTTTCATTTTCTTTATATTTCTTGCTTTTTTTCACTGTGGCTAATAGGGAAATATATTTTGCAATTTGATCTTAGAGAGTTGCCTTGTAGGCTCAAAGGCCTGAGTCCAAGTCATGCTTCGGACATGTAATGGCCATGTGACTCTGGCAAAGTCACTTAATTTTTCAGTTTTCAACGCAGCTCTCTAGACTAAGTTGCAGAGAAGACACCGAGCTGAATTAGAAGAGGGAATTTCAGTATCTGTCCATTCCCTATGTCAATGAAATCCCAAATCCAGTCCCTCTCTTAAATTTAATATGTATATATGTAGATTACCACTAACTAAAAATAACATCACTGCTGCCGAATTTCAGTTTCCCCATATAAAAAAATAAGAGTATCAGGATCAATGACCAGCTTTCTTATATGTACAATGAGGAGTTGGACTAGATGATTTCTAAGGTCTCTCCCAGTTTTAATATTCTATAAAGAGTTTGTAGGACAAAATAAAAGAGAACGGAATGAGGGTCAAAGTTCACATCCTAGCTCTGATACCAATTAGGCACATGACGGTGGACAAGTCACTAACCTCTGAGAATCCACTTTCTCTTTGCAAATTGAAGTACTATGGGTTCTTTTTTTTACAATATAGAAATGGGTAAGCGTGGCATTTGTTGGGGCACACAGTCTTCCTAGAAACAATGAGGAACAAATAATGTTAGGATATTAAAAACTATGCTTTTTTTAATTGGAAATTTCAACAGATTCCTGATTTCAGAATCCTGGAATCTTAGTCAAGAAATGGACTACAGAGGCAGCTTAATGTAACCCATATCTAGCCAAGACAATTCCCACATGCTTTTTCACCCTGGGCAATTCTTGTCCAAATGTTTTCATAAATCCTCCACAGAAGACCTACCTTTCACACTTGAGACCTGTAATCTTTTTAAATAAAATTTTGCTGTTGTCTTTTGTTATTTATAAGACCTACATTTCCAATGTATTCCTCCCACTTGCCCCTCCCAGGGAGTCATCTTTTATTAAAAATAAATAAACAAACAAACAAACAAATAAATAAATAAGCAGATAAATAAGTGAATGAATAGATAGATAGATAGATAGATAAGAAGAACAAGAAATGAAAAAAAAAGTTCAGTAAAATTAACCAACATACCAGAACAAAACAAAAATTTACATTATATACAATGTCCCATGCCCATGGTTTCCCATCTCAGCAAAAAAGCAGAAAGGAGGTGATTTTTCATATTTCTTCTTTGGGATGAGTATGGTCATAATAATTTTGTATTTATTGGGTTTAAAAAATATTTCTTGTATATCAATGCAGCCCTCAATGATATCCATCTGTTATCCATTGTTCTTTCTCTACGACCGGTCCACATTTTCCAATCTTATATGTCCTCAGTGCTGTCTTTGGTTCTATTTTTTATGCACAAGTCATCATTAGTAGTCTGCTACCCATCCTACTTATACCCACCATATGCCTTTCTATTAGCCTTTAGGTCACCTGCAATTTTGATTTTCCTTAGATCGTGGTGTTCCATGATTTGTACCTATCACCAGGAAAACACTGGTGTTAAAAAGATGGGCTTTTACAGCAGTGAGCAATTTGTGATACCTGAAAACACAGCTCGATTTCCCAAACGTGACCCAATTCAATCTCCTTGTCCTATTCAATTGAGGTTCTAGTTCTTTGTCTGTCTGCTGTGCTTGCCCAAAAGATTTTTACAAGAAAGTAGGGAAAGGACTGGTCCACACTCTAGGAAAGAAAAGGACTGGACAGCCCCAGCTGCCCTGAGCCTCACTCATTCAAGACTTGCATGCACTGACATGATTCAGGTGGAACTGGAGACAGTTGTATAACTTTGTATTGGAAGGGAATCTTAAAGCTCATCTAATTTGATTCCCTCAACTTAACAGATGAGGCTGTGGTCCAGAGCAGTTAAGTTACTTGCCCAAAGTCACACAGAGCCAGCACAAAAACCCAGGTCTGCTGCCTACAAATCCAAGACTCTACCCACTGTAGCTCACAGGCTCTCCAGGGACAAGTTTCTAAGGTTTCCCAAAGCATTCAGCCAATCACAATGACATTGGGTTATTTTGGTTTCCAGTTAAATTCAGTTAACCTTTTTAAGAAGTCTCCAAGCAAGAACTAAAGACCTCCCTAACTCAACTTTCCCCTTCCTCTCTGTCCTCCAAAAGCCCCTTTTTAACCACTTTCTCCTTACACCAAAGTACAGGAAGTTAGGTGGCACAACGAATAGAACACTGAACCTGGAGTCAGGAAG